AATGGCATGTACATATGTAATATGTACTTATTATGTAAAGATAATACAAAAACGAAAAAAGTGTATTAGATTAATCTATGTTTTATCAACTTTAAAAAGGAAAGCACTAAAGTCGACTATATGTCTTTACGGGTATGTATAATACCTTAAGTAAAAACTTCTGATAAACACTAAGATAAAGCTTTCATTAAAAAAGCCTATTTCAAATTTTTTATTTCATCATTCAACAAAATGTAATTATTATTAATTAACAATTAATATATGATGAACGAAAACTATTTTGTTGTTACGAAACAAAATTAACATATTTGTACTTTACGTCTTAATTAGCATGGTCTTTTGAATATTCACCATAACGAAGTGGAAAGAACAAAAAATTACATGTGGGTTGGTGTCATTATTTCATTTTAATTAACCAATCACAAAATGAATATTCAAATCTAAGTATACCATTGGCTGAGTCTTTCCTAATTAAATTTTAATGAATTATCATTAAAATCTAACATTTTTTTGCTCAGTGAAGTGAAATTTTAAAACTAGTTCAGTTATTTAGAGGGTTATTTCCTGCATACAAACTGACTGTTTTATAATAGTTAAGTGTTAAATATTCTATACTTTTCAAATAAAATATAGAAAAACTTACGAGTCACTCTCGCTCCGTTCGGATTCATCCCTAGTTACGTTTTAACGTTTAGTATAAATAAATTTATCAGAGATGATATATTTTCCTGCAATAAAAAGTATTCTATATGTTTACCCGGATAACCAGCTATCGCCTTATCAAATTTCATCAAAATCCGTCCTGTGGTTTTGTCGTGATGCGTTCAAAGACAGACAGATCTCTGGCCTCTGTATCGATAATAATGACTATTTCAATAAAATTTTATAAAAAACCCTTAATGTACATATTCGGCTCAGTCATAATTTTAATATATTATGTATAGAAGAAAACATTTTGACATTTGTAAAATAAAGTATTTTTAAACATCACGAACACGGCTTTAATGTTGATCATGGTTAGAGAAATTAAAAATTTTGTAAGATATATTTTTTATGATATGAAGTTCTTATACTTTTTTCATAAGTAAATACAAATATTTACAAATTATATCTCATTTTAGAAAGATCCTGTTCACCTCAAATTTTTACTTTTTTTCTCATGTAATTGATCATCATGTATATTGTTATAATACAAAAAAGTATCTTCCTCCGAAACAAAATGAAAACAACGTCTGTATAAAGTACGACAATAAATCAAGTAATACCTATATAGAATATATACAACGATTAAGAAAAACGGAATCTAAATTAGAAAAAAGATACCATTTAAATATACTTATTGACTCATGACTGCAAAAGCTATTTTTCTTCCTAGTAATCCTTACATGGACCCTTCCAAGCCGTACCCCCTGCTGGTTAAAGATCGGCTACAGGCAAATAAAATGCTAATTTCAAGCAAATTCTTTTCCATTCAATTATGTATCTACATGAAGCTTTTTCCTTTACCGTCAAGCCGGTTCGTAAATTAACTTGTATGAACGTTTTAATTAATTTTATGACACACTATTTTATTACTTCGAAAGGTTTGAGTCAAGGGTAGCGCTATTGTCGCATGGAGAAAGTAGGAACTAATCTCGAAATCAACCCCTTTCTTCAGTGCTGCCACCCTTAAAAGAAAGTTTACAAACATCCCTTGTTCAAAAAGTTCCGCTATTCGCTGCCAGATGGCGCTCCGACGAAGCGTCCCGAAGCATCTGCTCTTCAATTTGCTAGTGTGCGTGTGGAGTGAGACAGCAAATGAAAAATAAAAAAGGAGTAAAATAGACAGCAATATGTGTATACAAAGGCGTGGTTACGTGCATGCAAACCATTTTTTTTTATCGCAAAAATGGCCGGAACTTTACACGTTACGCCGTAGATCATAAAGTTGTAACTGCATTCCGCGGAATTGGCGTTGAATCCTAGCATAGTGCAGATAAGGTTGGAATTAAAACTACGCTTCATATAACTTATGGCTAGCTACTGAATAAGTGCAAAATAATTGGCGTCACCAGCGTCGCGGCGGCGCTAAAGCGAGACGGCAGTACGCGTAGCTCTGCGCCAGAATAGAGCTCACAACAACCGTTAGGCCAGAGGGATAGAGTATTAGCGAACGCGGACGATAGAGTGAGACGTCGCGAAAAAATGCACGAAAAAAGCTATTTTCACGAAAGGTGCGCGATAGAAATTACAAAAACATGGGCGCGGTTTAAAAAATGTTAGGGGCGCCTGCGCCCTCAAAAAGTTGGCTAGAAAGTGTTGGGGGAAAGAGAGGTGAGCATTTGTGTCGAGATGCAGTGACAGAGCGTGCCGCGAGCGGCCGCCACTGCCGCAAAAACAATAACTGTTAATTATTGCGATTAATAAACGAATACTTTGTGCAAAGCCCGAGTGACGTTCCTAATCACGAGTGTGTGTTCGAAACGTGTGTTAAACTCACGGGGAAGACTTGATAAGGTAAATATTGATAAGGCACTCGAATTTCAAAGCTTTTCGATATTTAAATTTGTTATTCAATGTCACGGTTAGAATTTCCGACATTATAATAGATTAAAAATATTTTATAATGTAGCTTTAATATTGTCATTACAAAAGAAAATATTTAAAATTAGTGTAGTTAAATTAGTATAAAATTCTTATTAGAATGTTGAGACGTAATCTTGATTTTGACGTTAATAATAACAAATACACAAAAGATTTTGGCGGCGAAAATACGACAACGTCACTTCAACAGTTTTTTTTAATATAAAAGTGACATAGATATTATACAAATATGCCGTGTTTATTAATTATTTAAAATATACACACTATAAAAATACAACCCAAAATTTTTGTAGTACATATTTTTATTTCCTAATACAAAACTTGAATTTAGAAAGTGGCTTTAATATTGTTAATATATGAATTGTCAAATATATTTTAGAGGCCTATGTTAGTGTTACAACGCAACTATTTTTATTGTAAGTATGGAGTCAATTCCATCTAAACCTAAAGGAAGAAAGTATCTACAAATTCTTATATTCTATATATACAGTAAATTCATAATCATAGGCAAAATTAGAGTTATTGAAATTATGTGAAAAAAGTGTAATTCATAAATAGCCGAACTTATAAAATGTAAAAATGAATAAAAGATAAAATTAAGTCAAATAACGTCTAAAATAAGATATTACATAAAAATGTTATATCGAATTTGAACATAAACATCGATAAAGATAATTTCCAAATGTAATAAAACTTTCTTCTATCTTCCAGATAAGTAGAGATTTTCACGTGACGAGATAAAAATATTGTACATTACATAAAAATCTGAACTTTTGTTATAAAATAATTTTGTTATTTGAAGCATGTTTCTTATGATATATAGGTCTTATTCATATTGGGTCTAATAATATAATATGCAACAAATCTTTGAAATTCCACGTTTTTATCAATATAGATTATATATAATTTTTTAATATCTATAATTACTGATTTATAAAGGATATCTCAAGGTAGTTGTTTAGGTTATTTAATTTTAAAATATGGAATTAACTGTTATTTTAAATTGCTAAGTTAATATACTTAGCAAAAAAAAAATTAAAATCTATAAGATACCGACACTCTTAGAGCATTGATCAAAAATCCTCGTTGTCGTGCTAAGCCGTGTTAGGTTTCCTTTAAATTGGCCTTTATCTATCTATAATCTATATTCATAATTATTTCAAAGTAACACTAAAGCTATTTTCAACAGTCTTAATAAGCCTTGCCTGTTTCTCTATATTTTAATATAGTGGAATAAAAAAAAACAGTTAAAACTTTCACAAAATAAATTATTAATAGAGAAAAAAAAAACTTAATGATAATTAATGTTAGCATGTAAAAATATTTTACGCACATCAAATTTTGTATTCCGTAATTTAAAATGCCCGATAAACTTGGTTAATCAACTTTCTTAAAAAACACCGTCAATTTACGCGTAATTAAATTTATGATAGAGACGGCGGACTTGCTCAAATAAATCAATGGCCAACAAATTAGCCAGACGCACCGAGCTATCTAACACAGCGTATAAATCATTTATATCGTATAAAAAATCGTGACTCTAAACTAGAATTCAGAATGATAATCATTATAATACAAAACTCGTCGTATTAACTTAAAACTTGGTAGAATAGAATGTAAAATGTCCACCGATGACACTAGACGCGTTTTAAATGTTTCATCGTCCAACGTGGGTGGAGCGTGGCTTAGCCTCCGAGCCGTCATATTTTACTCATCACAATATGTATTTAAAAACATGCCACAGTAAAGGTCTTTACACTCGATTTCTCAATAACGCTGAGGCCGTTCGCCCGTCATACACATCTGTGAATTTTAAATGCCTTGTTTTGTTTAATTATTCTAATAAAATATGGCCGTTTACAAACTCTACCCTTTCAAGGATTCGATGGGAGGCTATCGACTTTCGTTTGATCGATCCGTTGCATCGCTTGTATATCGTTAGTACTTTTAAGTATACTTTCAGTTTCTATTTAACTAAGACAATCTAATCTATTGCTTTGGAACTCGATCCGTCTAAAGCTCGTTAGACGTCTATAAAGCGCTCCGCTCAGCAGGGAAACATGAGCTTACATGATGAACAAATTGAACTGTATAGTTCAGTGGTCCGTGAACGACAGACGATTTTAGTGAGTTATTCTCATCTATAGGTTAAATTTAAGATTCAGAAGTAGATGATAGAGGCTCGATTATCAAATTTCCAAGACGACACTGCTCATCTACTCGCAAAGTGTCACTAGCGCACTATTGCGGAGCGTAGCGTTCAACACACATGCGTTACGCGGCTCAACTACCGATGGTATTGCGTCCTTTGCTCGCATACGGTAGAGTCGTCGGGGGCTCTCTCTCGGCGGGCTCTTAGACGTCGTCACGTTCGTATACCTATCGCATAGGAGCTAGATTGGCGTGACGCGTATTCAAAATAGGAGCGTTAGTAATGGATAAGTTGAACAGGGGGTGTATGTGTGCGTGTAGCGACCCTCCCCCGCGCCGCCCCCGCCGCCCGCCGCCCGCCGCCACGCAACCGAGCGGTAGAGTTTACACAATCTGCTGGCATCGCGCGGGTGATGCTTGTGCCTCGCACCGTGCCCTAGCCTTCTCGTGACGACAATCGACGCGCGACCACGTATCATTTGTTTTTTACCAAATGGGAACTCATGACTCTACCATGGAGATACCAATAGGAATTACTTCACTTAACTCTACCATCGATGGCTAGTGACGCGAATGTGGCGATATATCGCAACTAAAGTCGTCGCAGCAAATATTATTACTTTTTTTAAATTTCCTTTAATTTAACAAATTCCCCCAATAAACTAAGAACTCTGTGAAAATTCAAACACAAAGTGACGGTCAAGTGCTAGTGTCGGAAAATAATCAAATGTAACGGCGCTAAAGTAGTGCCAAGGAAAAATTTTAAATTCAAGAACGAAACAGAACTTCAAGCATTTGAAAAAAAAACATGAGATTGTGGTGAGTATACATTTAAACAACATTTTTTTTATTATTTTACTTCGTAATGAAAAGAAAAAATATATCGAAAAGACCGCGAGGTATCTTTTACAAAGAAAATGGTTTAGAATTTTTGTAAAATATTTAAATAACTAGATATTACTTACTTAGGTACAGAATTGTTATCAGTTCGCTTAGCAACAGCAATTTTACTGATAAAAAGCAGTCACATATTTTTATCTTGTTGCCACGATTATTTAAACTCGAGCCCTTATCGGGCACAAATACTGAAAATATTATAATTTTATTTTTTATATCTGCCAGCAACATTTACATCCTTTTGTGATTCAAAATTCGAAATAATATTAGTAATGCATTGTTGCACCTAAAGTAGAATATTCAATTATACAACTTCAGTTTCTCATTTAACGTACTTTTTTGAACAAGTTTTTAGAGAAGTGTAAGAAGATATTTCTATTTTGAAATATGTAATTGGAATTTATGAAAGAGGTTATTAAAAAATTATAAAAAGAGAATAAACTATTTCATATTTTTTTATTCTACTTTTTTTTCTAGTTTTGTGTTTTTTATAGTACAGACAGACAGAAGTTAACGATTTCGTTTAAACCATATCAATTTTAAAAAAATTACAAAAACGCTGGATACATTGATAACAAAAAAACTTTCATATTTTTTTTAACTTTTATACTTGATATTTAATTTCTCATATTTTGTACATATTTCTTATATTTTTTTTGAAAGTTTTACCAAATTTAATACAATTTACAATATTTTATGAGAAACTGTAAATTCATGTACATCTATTCATGTAAAGTTTTAGTTGCATAGAAATGTTTGGTTATATAAATTGACATAGTCTGGAGGAAGCAATGGTATATTTTTTAATATTTCAATTTTAATTAATGTATAATTATCAACCGACTTCAAAAAGGAGGAGGTTTTCAATTCGACTGTATTTTTTTATTTATAAAAACTGTCTGTCTGTAAAAATCTATTAAAATACCGTAAACAGAAATATAACGTTCTTTAAAATTAAATTGGCTAGTATATAGAAAATTATTCCATTATATCTTCAATAAAAACTCATAAATGTTAGCATTGCTAGAAAAAAAATGTCTCGATATTAAGTAATTTAAAAAAACACACGAGTTCAAAGTCACTTGATTGTTATTTCAATTTAAATAATAAAACATAAAAAATTAGTATTTAATGTTCAAAAAATATTTAAATTATTTATAGAAATAAATTTTATAGTCTCTCCCGACCATGATTGCTGAAAAGCATTCGAAACGGCGGGAACCAAAAATCAAAATAAATCCGCGAAAAGATAGTTTTATTTAAAATATCAAATATTCGTGTAAAAGTAATACAGTATTACATTTTAAAATGGAATAAAAATAAGGTAAACGATATTAGGTACAGAAATTCGATGCGAATTTTAAGAATATTAAACTGCCATGCATGCATTAGGAATGATTCTAACAAAACTTACTGATACAGATTACATATGTATATTCTTTGAAATTAATATAATATTTATATTTATATATAAAAATTTAAAGCACTGAACCATAGATTATTATAATCGTAGATTAAATTCTATGAAAACTATTAATTTATCATATAATTTTCACAGTATGTGATAACTAAATTTTGAGAATTGTATCAAATTAAACTATGTTTTATACACTAATGCAATCTAAATACTAAGAAATCGTCAAGATAAGTAATTATTATTATAATTTAACCTTAAACATTTTAGAATAATAATTGAACGTAACTTTTTAACTCTAAATATAACTGTAATCGGTTAGCCCATTCCGAATAAAACTGTATAGGATAAAAATAATAATTTAAATAAATTACAGCATTATATATGAAAAATATATAATTATTTCTATGGCAGCTCATACAAAACATATATAAACTAGTACACGGTAATTTTAAATCGAAGATTTATAACTGAAAATTTAAAAAACGCATAAAAAATTACTCTAATATATCTATAAATGTATGAAAACTTCATGATAGCCATAGATTTATTATTTAAAAATAGCGTAATAATTTTTAATTAAGCCTCTAATGAAATCTTCACATCGCCTTGAGAACATGTGGAAGTAACTATAAAGATATAAATCAGCCATTCGTTGCCTGTTATTAATAATTTCAGGCCGCCTCAGGCGACAAGATGGATCGTTAGTCTCAAATGGTACGGGTTCGATTCCAGACAACTAATTATTATTTATGATCAGCTTTTATCGAACGCTCGCGGGTACGCATTTAAAACATTGCTTAGATATCCATTGGTGTATACACCGTTAATTTTTCTCCATTAGAATTATAGTGATGATCGATGTGAAACATTTTGCAATTTTTTTTTGTTTCATTGTATTTATTGTTGAGTTATGAGTTAGATGACAGGACAATTATAGGAATATGTTACTTAGATATTTTTTATTCATTAATATCAACGTCTTATTTCCATATAATAAATAATATTTTTTTTATTATTCTAGCACAGAGAGAATAAAGGTTTTTAGAAGAGATGCTTTCTTAACCAAAATTGAGTCTATATTGTATATTTATTGATATACTTTGTAAGCTTAGCATATATGCGTTATAAGTATTTCGTCAGTGCGCTATTAATAGAAAAACAGATAATAACGCTGGAGTCAGTGGTACACATAATTATGTCTTAAAATAATCTCAAGTGCATTCACTACTTGGTTGAAAACTTTCCTGTCAACAACAGTGGAATGTGCCAAGCTTGCATTTAAGCTGTAGCAGCTTTTGTAAGCTTTTAAACATATTATATTTACATTTTTTATACTATGACGATAATTATAAAGTATTTTATCATGTTTTTTTAATTTTTAATATTTACTATAAATGATATATATATATATATATATATATATATATATATATATATATATATATATATATATATAACTTTTAAAGCTTAAATAATATCTTCAGTAATAAGATAATTTTAAATACTTTGGCATACATAGCATCGTTTATTTTGACTCATGTTATTTTTAGAGTTATTTATATTTTACTGAAGCTACATTTACCTTTTATTTCTTAAAATAGACACATAAATAAATTATTTTGGTAGGTAAATTCATCAAGTTCAACGTCCATTGTGTAGAAATGTTTGTAATTTTTTATTTAAATTATATTTATATATATTAGCTTTACTGTTACGCAACTAGCTTTTGCCATCCTACTAATTATAATTTATTGCATTTTTCATAAACTAGAAATAAATTTGCTGAAAATTTTCTTTTCCTATCAAAATGATTATAAAAAGTTTTAGAAAAAAAGAGAGTAAATAATATTGATTCTCTTAATTTCAATAGATGATCAACAAACATATTTAATTGTATTTAACTTTTGATATTTTCAAAATTATTGACCTTTAAAAGTATTTTTCTACATAATTATAATATAAAACATAAAGTTTTAACTACAGTTACTATATAATAATAAATAATAAAATAAATATACGAACTAAACAAAATGTATGTATGTATGTGTATTCAGCCCTTTTTAACGTCCACTGCTGGGCACGGGCCTCTCTTCAATACGACAGGGATCAGGCCATAGTTTACCACGGTGGCCAAGTGCGGGTTGGCAGACTTCACATGTCTTTCGAAAACTTGCTAGGTTCTCTCAGACATGCAGGTTTCCTCACGATGTTTTCCTTCACCGTAAGACAAATGGTAATCATGTTACAAATGATTCGCACATGAAAATATCAGAGGTGCGAGACTCGGGATTTGAACCCGCTTCACTCGGTTTCCCAAGCGAGCGCGTTACCACTGGACTACCACTACCTTCTAAACAAAATAGCTTCAAAAATAAACACATAAATAAACTCAATATGTTTCATTCTAAATATTGTAAAGCCATCAGAAGCTGTAAAGAAAGATAAATTTATGGTCAATTTCACTTCTTCATTGACTCTAATGAATACTGCAAAATGTGTGATATAAATTACACAGTCTTCTATACGCCGCCATCCAGCGGTAAAGGGTAGCCCTTTTAAATTACCAGGATAAATAATAATTAAGCTATAAACATTTCGATAAAAGTTTATTAACTTTGGTAACAAAATGAAGATTTAATGTAAGTATTGCTTGTAATAAAAATAAAGATTATTTTCTCCGTAACTTCGACAATTAAAAGCAAAAACTCTTTTTAAATGTAAGTGAATGTAATGAAAACTATTAGTTTTCAGTACCACTCAGTCAACAACAACAACAACAAACAACAAAAATAACTGGTGGAACGGGACGATATATCATTTTTATATTTTACTAGCATTGCCCGCGTTCAGATGACCAAAAACCAAATTCTTAGGTTTTATATATTAGTATACTATTACATTGCAATTTTTGTATTTTTTTTCAGAAATGAGATATTTTCCCGCGGTAAAAAGTATCCTATATGTTGACCCGGATAACCAGCTATCACCATACCAAATTTCATCAAAATCCCTCCAGTGATTTTTCTGTGATGCGGTAACAGACAGGCAGAACGACAGACAGACAAAAATTCTAAAAACTATAGATGCGGTCTCTGTATCGATAATAGTGTCTATTTCAATAAGATTTTCCAAAAAAGATTTAATGTACAGATTCGAATTAGTTGC